TTGGGAGCAGTAGGGGGAGCAGTCATTCGATGATATTCTCCCTTTAGAAAAACTCATTATCTCTGATTTGCAACCACTACGCTATTGTCAGTCGAGTCACTAATTGATTTTAAGTCAATATACAAAAGAGTATAGGTATAGAAACTAATAATATAATTGCAAAGACATAATATCTGCCATTACTTGTAATCATTGGCTCCGGAGTCGTAAACATTTTCGTATTCATCCACACTCATAGGTGCCTGACCTCCTTTTCTGTAACATCTACTTTTAGTCTTTTTTCTTCTTTTTTTTCTTTATTTTTTAACCTGCCCCACACTGGGATTTTCGCCTGTGTCGTGGTTGCGTTTACAAACATACAATATCACATGCACATGACATCCAGACCCGGAATAACAATTTGTGGATCACACAAAGAATTGAATTCAATGAGGGAATCGAACCCACGACAAGTTGCGCGACAGCCGGTTGCCCAGCCACCGCGCCAATCGTGCCGTCCTGAAAAGGTAAATAGACGTGCATACCCTTATATTTTAAGTACGAAACATAGCCACTAGTATAAAAAAAACTAGTAAATAAAAAAAATAGAAGTAAGTAGTTTTGGATCACAATAATGAATTGAAATTCTTTTTGTAATTTGAAATAAGAATTTCTATATTCGTCGCGTGGTTTTTTAACACAGATTAAAAATTAACTAAAAATCGCGAGTTACTCACGTGAATATTTTAAGAAAAGCTCTACTAGGTTCGTATGTCTCACGATAGTTATAATAAGAACAGATTAAAAATGTATGTTATTTAAATCAAGTGTGAAATGGTGTAATAAATAACATCTTTTTTTCTTACTTACATTCTCCGAAATGTCATTTAATTTTTAGCTACCTAAAAACGTAATACAATATGTCACGACTTTCAATACTAGAGGAGATAGGCAGAGTTGCTCATTGCTCATATAGGTAGGTACCTACTTAGGCACAATGTAAAACACACCTGTCCCTAGTTATGCAGTAAGTCCTATGTAGTATTGGGTAAACCTATAGTATATTGTTTGGGCATTTTAAATCAAACTCCATGTTAAAATTTAGTATTCCAAAAATCGAAAACCCAATATGAAATTATCTCCAACCTATCGAAACTTTTCTCAGACACGTTTGCGATTACTTGACAAAGTTTTAAATCTAGCTACATTAAAATATAGCGTAAGAAAAATAAATAAAACGTGGTAGAACCCTCTTTAATAAATAAACATGAATCACACGTGTTTAGATTACAAAAGGTGCATGACTATGTAAAAACGGAAAATTAAAACAAAAGCGACTGCTTAATGTACCAGGGTAGCAGCAGTCACGTGGCGGTGACAGAAAAGTAAAGAATCTTCGACACCAATCTACATTTCATTTTAATTTTAAATGGAGATTAAAAATATCTTCGAATGTAAACCATTTTTTTTTATCTTTCGGTATTAAGAAAATATAATAATAAGTTTGTATTATTTTTCCCTTTCTGGGTTATTGGTAAGTACTTATCTAAGCATAGAGTACTCTATCTCTCTGCTTACACACTAATTTTAATGTGTTTTTCATTATCGTCAACCGTAATAATACCCGAAGCTGTCAGGTGACCTACAGATAGCAAATCACCGAAAACATAGGAGCTGCTTCTGACCACTCCGAGGTGACTGATCATAGCAGAAAACAAATCATTATAGGGATAAAAGCAGGGTATAAAAATTAAAAATCTAATTAGACTGTCAGTTAGATAATGAAAAAATATTATATACGTACTTTTTTATTTTGTCGTTTAAGAAAACATTACTTAGATAAAACGGATCAAAGTTTAGGAGTGGGAGTTTAAACGTCATTTCTACGTACAAAACGTCTCTAGAAGTGACGTCACGCGACACTTCAAATCAATATATCGTCGAAAGTATTTGTATCTGTAAGGAAATAAAAAATACGTGTCTAATGTTTTAAAATAATCTACCAGACGGACATTAAAATAAAAATTAGTCATCTACCCTATTTTAATATCAAGACTTAAAATGTTTCCAACCTCTGTCACACGAAATTACCCACCTCACATAAATATCGCAATGACCATGTTCAGTGTCACTATATGACAGTGAAATCACATCAAAATGACTAAAGTACTGTTTGCCATCGTCCTCACGATGATCACATTCGCTGTAGTACTATCTGCCAGTACTAAGGAAGCTATGACCACGACTATGTCTGACCAGGTTAACAGCATTGATGTGGATGTCTTAGCTGTTATGGACATGTGCAATGATAGCTACAGAATTGATCCAAGTAAGTTTAATTTTTTTTCTTCTTCTTCTTTGGCAACCGAGTCTCCAAAACAAGTTTCATTTTTCTGTCCTGGTAAATATCGGAAATGACACATAAAGTTCTTTGTTCATTTTCTTTACTTAATTCTATACTTTTCAATTAGTATTTACGTAATATACCCAGTTATAGAAGTTTATTTTGTGAAGAACTTTTTAAGTCCTAAAAAAAATTAAATTTTTTCGACTATCTATAATATTATCTGTCTTACATTTTAAACAAACAAATATCTCGATAAATAGTATATTCGTATTTCGGATAAAATAATTTTGCTTGCAGCTTATTTACAAGCATTAAATGAGAGCGGGAGCTTCATTGATGAAACCGACAAGACGCCAAAGGTTAGTTTAAATAACTTTAACAAATTAACATAACATAACATCACGCCTTTTATCCCCGAAAGGGTATGCAGAGGTGCACACAGAAGTAACACCCACTTTTCACTATTTATGTTATGAGTCCCATGTAATAGGGGGGTAAGCCTATTGCCATATACCGGACACATTTCCAGACTCCGTGATACTACTGAGATTTTTTTAAGCACAGTAATACTTTGCCCGACCCGGGAATCGAACCCGAGACCCCTTGCCCGGCAGTCGCACTTACGACCACTCAGCCAACGAGGCAGTCTTCAAATAACTTCTATAAAGAAAATACGTATTCGATTTACATAGAACAACAAAATATATCGTTAGATAGTATTAAATTAATGCGCCTATTTGTTACATCGCAGTGTTTCATCCGCTGTGTATTCGAAAACGTGGGCATTGTATCAGAAGATGGTAAGCAGTTCAATCCAGCGAGAGCTGCTGTCATCTTTGCTGGAGAACGCAATGGAAAGCCTATGGAAGACATCGCTGACATGACTGCACTGTGTGCAACAGATAGACGTAAGTAACTTTACAAGCACAAAGCTATGCAAGTTCTAAGCACTTTGTTATAATTTCCTTTGATAAGTTTTATTTATTTATTTATTTTATTTATTTATACATTTGGAAAACCAACAGCTATACAATTTGATTAAAAAGAATGTGGTATGCAACAAGAAGCCAATTACTGGTTTCCACGATTAGTAACAGAAAGTAGAAACATGCTAACACAGTACTAAAATTACTCATTAAACTCATTAAACCACAGGCAGTCTATAATGATGCACAAATTACTCCAATGATTAAGTACCATATAGGTACCCACTATGAATTAAAGAAATCAAGGTTCAGCTGCCTGCGTGCCACAGTAAGTTTTGTGTTAAATGGGTCGAATGAAAACTCTTTGCACAGTTTATTGAAATCATTGCTCGCTCGCACAATATACGAATTACTCCGATAGTTGGTTGAGGAAGTAGGTATCGATATCGGTACACTGAACCTAAATGACTTACGGGGAACATTAAAATGAAGTCTTTGCAGTATTTTAGGGCAGTCAATGTCATTAGATAGTATTTTTAACATGAATGAAAAATCCGCCAATCTACGCCTGTTTACAAGGGGTTGCAAGTGAAATCTCTTGCAAAGATTTAGATAGTCAGCACTGTGATAGTCAATTTTCAAGCGATAACATAAAGATTTTACAAACCGCTTCTGGATGTTTTCAATTCGATCGATATAATTATGATAATATGGGTTCCATATCTGAGACGCATATTCGAGGCTACTTCTTACAAATGTGCAGTATAAAATCTTGAATGTCTTTGCCTGTTTAAAACACCCAGATATTCTCATGACAAAACCGAGCGCTTTCGAAGCCTTAGCTATTATTTGATCAATATGGATATCGAACCGAAGTCTTGCATCATGATAAACACCAAGATCTCGCACTCCGTCACACCTTTGCAGAACCTGACCCTTCAGCTCGTATGGATGAATCATCGGGAACCGCTTTCTACTAAAAGTAATCACTGAGCATTTTGCGGGATTCAGGTCAAGTTTATTCAACTGGCAATACTCATCCAGGCGCTTTAAGTCATCCTGGAGAGCCAGCATGTCCTCCACCGATGTTATTTTGGAGTAAATCTTCATGTCGTCGGCAAAAATAAGAAGATTAGAGCTATGGAAGCAGAGGTCAATGTCATTCACGTATAAGATGAAAAGTAGGGGGCCAATTAGAGATCCCTGCGGAACACCGCTTGGAATCTTGACCCAGCTAGATATGTAGTTATTGACTACGACAGATTGAGACCTGTTTTCTAGGTAGGATGCAAACCATCTGAGTAAGTCACCGCATATACCAATACGATATAGCTTAGTTTTAAGGATATTATGGTCAATTCTGTCGAAGGCTTTGCTATAGTCGGTATAAATGACATCAACCTGTGCCCCACCATCCATACTGTCAGTCAAGTAGTCATTTAGTAAGATCAAGTTCGATACTGTGGAGCGACCCTTCAGGAAACCATGTTGCGTGGGACTAAACGAGCTCCTAACCGCAGCGTAAACCTGATCATACACGATTCTCTCAAAAACCTTTGCCAATATGCAAAGTTTGGATATTGGCCTATAGTTAGCTACTTCATTCTTTGAACCCTTCTTATGCACTGGTGTTATATAGGCTGACTTCCAAATCTGAGGAACGACAGATTCAGTCAAAGATCTCTCAAACAGCATAGTAACGGGCACAGCGATAGTTTTTGCACAGCCTATCAAAAACTGGGGGGACAAATCATCAGGACCAGCCGATTTGCTTGAATCAAGATTGGTTAATAATTTTTTGACACGTTCGACATCTATCTCAATCGCGCCAATATTAGACAAAGTATCCAATATGTAATTAGGACATTCAGGAGTAACGTCGGAATCAACACCAGTCGGAGCAAGAAAGTTGGAATAAAAATGCAAGCTAAAGGCATTGCAAATTTCTTCGGGCGAGGAAATCGATACATCCTTGTGTTTAAAATAACTGGGGATTGAGGTAGATTTAGATCTGTGCTTTACAAATGACCAGAAAGACTTAGGGTTTCTCCCGATAGATGCTTCAGTAGAAGCGATATAATTCGCATAACATTCACTCTCAACCTTTTTCACCCTTTCGCGTAAAAGCCTGAATGTCGCTCCATCCGATATCCCACCATATAACCTAAATCTGCGTAGGTGCTTATGTTTCTCCTTTATGAGCCGCTTAAGTGACGGAGAATACCAGATCGGATAAGTGCTAGGGTATATAAGTTTGCTTGGGACATACTTCGAGCGCATCTCCGATAAAACTTTATAGAAGTGACTAATTGAATCCTCCAATGATAAATTTCCAAAAATAATATCCCAATCAATACTGGATAAATCGTTGTTGATTGCATCGTAGTCTCCCCTACTATAGAGAAACCGTGTATATGGCGCTGGTATTAAATAACTGGATCTAGCAAAATTTACGTCAATTAACAGAGCCGGATGATATTTGTCAATAGGTGCTAGGGGTACTAGGCATTCGCTAACAGATATGGTATCAGTACATAAAACCAAGTCCAACATTTTTCCATAGAAATTTAAGACACTATTAAATTGACTAAGACCCAACACAGATAATTCATCCACCAGCGCATGCTCATCACCGCTAATTACATTTGTGGGAATCAGCGAATTATTATCTGATGACAGCCACGAAATTCCACTCAAATTAAAATCTCCCACAATTAAAAACTTGTCATCTGGGTTACCCATTATAGAATCATTCAATCTACCTAGGTAGTTTGATAATTGCTCAGTAAAAGAATATCCGCGTTTCTCGCAACACAGATACAAAACACCCAGGTGTAATTTAACGAAATCGTTGCTATCATAATGGCGTAAACTCACCGAAACCCAAAGATCCTCCGCAGTGGATTGAAATAGCGGCTGGGGCACTGCTGATATGAGCTTGTTCACTGCTATCAGCACACCACCTCCCCGAGTTTGACCCGTACGATGATAATCTCGATCACGGCGCCACACAATATAACGGTCACAAAATAACTCCGAGTCAGATATTCCATTCACCAGCCAAGTTTCCGTCAATATAACAACGTCGTACAAATTAACACATAATTGACGATAGAAGTCATCGGTTTTAGTGCGTAGTCCGCGTATATTCTGGTAGTAAATAGATAGTTTTTTAGCAGTATCATTGGCCATTAGGAATAACGCAAGACATAATAACCGCATCAATAGCAAAGTACAATGTTACACCACCGTGAATGAATGAAACGAACACAACAAGCAATCGACAATCCAAACCAAATAAAATCAAGGGTAGAACATAATAAACCAAGAACAAATAATAAGCAACGCGAACGAGAAAGCAATAGATCAATTCACGCATTAACCACATAAGTGCGAGCAAGACAATTAAATTTCGTTTAATAATTTCATATTGAATAATGTGATATGCAAGTGCGACACAAAGAACCCAGGTATATAAAAAATGGTCAAGTAGCATACCGCGGCAAAAGGCAGGGAAGCTCAACCCTTTTCTAAATTTTGAAATTATTTTAACATAATACAAAGACATGAAATAATAATAAAAATAAAACAAAAAAATTGGAACAATAAAGGTTATAAACTTAATGGATATTGTTAAGTTAACACGACTGATTAAAATATCGATGGTGCAAACCTTCTTACAGACAACATAACATTCTATTTTAGTCTGTTTAAATCGCCATCACTAGCTATGATAAGAACAGCAGAACCATCGTGTTTCCGAACATGTATCTTAGCGTGCTTGACCCAAACGTGTCTATATTCCTTCTCCTTCGCCATTAATCGGGTTCTGTTTAATAGCTTCTTTGAGTTGGAATTAAGATGGTCATTAATATAAACACGATTAGTAACACCAACAAATCCCAGATCGGATCCAGACAGGCCCTTTAGTAAGCGAGCAGCCGCAATGAAATCCTTATTTGAGTCGTTTTTAGTTATTTGTATTCCATAGTTTTGTGCAAATATCATAACAAGTTAACTCGTCGAGTACCGTCATTATAGACACAATTATAGAACAATAGGTTGCGGTCACCGGTGACCGCTTGGTCTTTGACAGTTTAAAGTGTGGAAGAGCCATGCTTCGGTGCGAATGAGTGGGCTTGAGTGGCGCTTACGTGGTGTGTTTTGTCATCTGAATGAGGTTACCTGAGACCAACCCCCCCCCCCCTTCCCCAATCTCCCCAATTACTGAATTCCCAACAACCCTCAAATTCGTAATCTCCAAATGGCCGGTAACGCACAGGTAACGTCTCTGGTGTCCCAGGTGTCAGCTGTGCTGGTGCTGGTGCTTATCGTCAGGTGATCCGCCTGCTCGTTTACCAGCTTATTCCATAATAAAAATGAAACTAGAATAAAGGAATTTTTGAAACATTTCGAACAAGTCTACCGTTTTCTCCAATATTTAAAGGGTTTTAATGAATTTCTTATATGTCTTATTGTTTCAGAGGAAACCTGCCCCTGCGACAGATCATACAAGTTCCTAAGATGCCTGATGTCGATGGAAATTGAAAGATACGAGAAATCTTAAATGGACAGGGATACCTCTTTGTAACAAATGCCGCCCTAGTACCTTTTACAACTATGTGAAATATTCAACCTCGCAATAACTTAGTAGTAGAATAGTAAGTAGTCCATGTTATAAATTATACTGAATAATAAAAGTACTTTAAAAGTTAAGTTATCGTTTAACTAGCTTTTACCGTCCGTTTCGTCACAAAAGGATAAAAAGTAGCCTATTTGACTATCCATCCCTTCAACTACCTTCAGTTAAAAAATCACGTTAGTACCTCCAAACAAATAGCTTTCCGCTCGCGTGTAATTCGGTTATATCGCGCTTTTTAGATTTTTCCGTGGGAATGAGAAGTTCTGCCGCGGTAAAGCCTTGATTTTTCAGGACTCAAACTACCTTCATATCAAATTTCTTTAAAATCCGTTCTGTCGTTTAGGCGTGAAAGAACAACATACAAAAGGAGTTATTTTCGTATTACCACAAATACCATTCTCCTTTTCAATTTAAAAGACTTTACCTAACTAATATACAGCTACTTTATTAATCAGCCCAATCAATGAACAAAGCGACTTAAAAAACACAACGATACCACGTGGTAACGTTGGCACTGGGTATTTTAAAAACGTTTATTAAATACCCAGCGCCATCTATCGCTAAGTAGCGTGACTATTACGTACATACCAATTAGTAATTCGTTGACTTATAAACATCAAATAAATAAGTCGTAAAGTGCACTGAGTAGGTACCTTTAACAACTTACAATCTATAAAATACATAATTTAGTCTTTTAGGAGCTAGGTAGGAGAGCCTAGTGTCCTAGAGGAGGTTTCTTCTTTTCTTCCATTACTAGTAAAACTCCGATGAGAGGTGTGGACCAGAATGATTTTATTCGCCAAATTACGCTACTTATATTTCTATTTACATATTTACAATTAGATAATATCAGATAT